TGGCAACACTGTCATTTGACATGGAACCCATATACAATAAGAAATAGGAAGATCGATAATATAGGGTCTGGGTCGTGGCCTAACCTACAAAAAGATGAATGTAAATAACACATTTACAGCCACAGCCGACAAACGATAAATATTCCAGCTCACCTGCCCACCTCTGAAGCGGCTTCATCTGTCAAGAAACGCCCGCTTCACCACCATAATAAGGCCTCAAATGGCTCACGTGAAAAATTCCTATCTCTTTACCATTTTTAGGATCTTCCAACACACAAGAATCAAAACTAACAGGTTTTTCAACAAGGTATGAACCTTCAAATAATAGTAAAAATTTCTTTTCCTCCGATTGGCTGCATATATCAATTTTGCTGACACATATCAATCGGCAAAGTATTACTTTTCCACTTTGCTGCCTAGGCAGCAAAATGGTTACTTTGCTGATTGATATGTATCAGCAAAATTAATAATCCATAAATCGTTTATAATTTCCTTCATATTTCATCCGAACTTCTCCGGCAACAAATTCAACTCTATATTTTTTGCCACCTCCCTTATTTCTGGAGGTTTAAGTACTTCCAGGTCGCTATCACTGTCCATTATATAATAATTTAAATATACCGATATTTTTTCGCACAACTGTCAGAAATTTCATGAATTGTCAAACTATAATTATTATGGACATTTCCATAGCATCCAACCATTCCAATAACTGAGATTTCGATCAAATTTTATTTCAATTGAACACTACAGGAAAAATCAAGAGATATATATCATTATGAACAATCGGAGAAAAAATTATATGTCCAACTCGGCAGCAAAATAGATTGACTGCCTTAGCTGGATCCCTAGCCTCGCTACGCTCGGCTATGAATTCAGCCTCGGCAGTCAATCTACTACTTTGCTGCCTGGTTAAACAAATAACTATTTTCTCCAAGCGGCAGATATAGTGGCTTTTCCCTGCCGCTTAACAGGCAGAAAAGGTGTACTTTCAATGCCTAGGCAGGAAAAGTTTGTTGCTATGCAACGTTCCAAGAAACTTTAATGAAATTATTAATCAATATTGACACTGACATTGGGTGAACACAAAATAATGGATTTTTCAATAAAAATATTACACGAAATTGGTTTTAAATCAATTGGAGAAAAAAATTATATGTTTCACACGGCAGCAAATATAGATTGACTGCCTTGGCTGAATTCCTAGCCCCGCTACGCTCGGCTATGAACTATCAGCCGCGGCAGTCAATCTACTACTTTTCTGCCTAGTAAAACAAATAACTACTGTCCCTTGATCAACGGCAGAAAAAATTGAATTTGCTTTAAATAGTACCATATCGCCATTAAAAAAAGTAGGATAGGGCCGACTAGGAAAACGAGCAGCTCGTCGGGCTGCTTTGCCTACCAGGGTTTCAAGCGCAAGTATGAGTTTCTGGTCATACTCCAATTCATCTCTGTTGGCCGGATGACATCTTTCTGGCAACAAACCTAACTGTTTGTGACCAAACTGTTATTCATTTGGGGAATGACCAGTGGATTCATGAGTTAAAGAATTAAAAAAATTTGCAATATTTGAGAATTCCCAAGCTCAACGGGTGTGCTGACCTAAACAATATGTGCGAAACAACCTGCCAAGTTCTTTCATAACCCTTTCTGCTGGATTCGCCTCAGGATGTCGAACAGAAGGAACATGTGACATGACCCTAACACTATGCTGCTCTAGAGTTTTTTCCACAAAGATGCAGTAAATTGTGTCCCTCTATCCGAGAGGATACTTTGGGGGAGGCCTTTTCATGGCGGTTGAGGCACGCCTTTCCAGTAGCTTTTCGTAATGGGTATAAGGCCACAAAGGACCCCAAACTTTTTCTATATAAAAATGGCGTCCAGTCGAATTTTCTGGTATATTAGAGTACTCGGCCTAATGATCAAATATGCCGAGTCCCAATCTGATCGTATGACCAGTTTTTAAGTTACAGGGTGTTGACGTTGAGAAATGTCCCCTTTTCATCTGTCCATATCTTCAAGAGAGGACGAATAAATTGGACTGTTCTGCTAGCAGTTTTTCAGTTTAACCTTCGGGTAGAACAACCATGTATTGAATCAACCACAACTGATAGGGGCCAGGTAGCCGTGCGGACAGAGTGTCCATATTCTAATCCGCATTCGCTTGCCGGTCGTGGGTTCGAGTCCCGTCGACTGCAGAAATTTTTATGATGGCCCAAGAAAGTGTTTGGGATCACACGTTAAAAGGTAAGGCCCCCGTCATTCCTTGCTCGCACAAGACTCTCGAAGACTTCTGAGGGTTGCTTGTAAGGGGGCAACCGAATGACGGATAGAACAATTTTAGAACAATTTTTTTTTTTTAGAACCACAACTGATCTTCATCACAGGGTGATTCACATCTGAATTATTGTGTTATTTTCAATTCCTAAATATCGATACCACAACTAGATAAAAATTAGAAAATGAAAATTATCATTCGATATGTTCTTCCTACATCAAATGGATTAATTTTATGTATTGATTATACATGGTGATTCGTGAATGCTGATGTTAAGAGAATAAAGTTTATTGGCCCACCTCGTATTATTGGGTTGATTTAGGGTATTGATTATAATTTTTGAGGTAGGATAATGATGCATTTCATGGTATACAAAGTGATTTATCGATTGAAAAAATTGCCAACTAAAAAAACATATTAAAAAAACACTTTTTTTCCTCCCCCTTTAATTCTAGACTCTCACCGTTAAGATCAAGTTTTTTTTCATCAATATACTAAGTATGAATAGCTCAATGAGATGGAGAATTTTCAGCTCCTTGCTATGACTAGTTGTTGTTGTTGTTGTTGTTCTTTATTACCCCAAGAAACATATTTGTTTATAATAGGGATACATAAACATATGATATATATATATAAAACAATAAAAAAAACCTAATTAATAAGTTATGTCAATATAACATAATAATTAAAATAAAACCATTCCAAGTATTCAAATGAAAATAAATTGCTCCGTTTATTGTGTCATTAGTATAATATATTTTTTCATATTGACTTTGAATCTTGTTTCATCATCAATATGTTTCAAATCATAAGGTAATGAATTATATAAAAAAAAGTGAATACCCACTCAGATGAAATACGTACTGTTTCAAAAGGAAAGATTACTTGCAGAAAATATTACTGTACTATTTCTCTTGAAGACTTGAAGTTGCCATATTATTGTTGATTGGGAAATTCAGGAATTACAGAATATACAGGGTGTCCGGTAGACCATGGATCATACTCTAGCTGGTGATAAACAAGTTAATAGCTCACCAAAAAACCACAACTTGAACTGTTATTCAAAAAATTCGAATTCCTATTTGTATGTTTCAAGCTAATTAGAAGCGATTGCTTTGTTCAAATCATTCATTCGATTTTTTACAGAAATAAATCGATATAAACTTTTGACATCATTTGTACAGTGGACTAGACCTAATGGGGAAAGCTCTACCGCTAGGGTGGCATGGAAACGAGTTAGTTGTATTATATAGGGTGTCCAGTAAACCAATACTCTAGATGGTGATACACAAGTCCATAACCTATCAGAAAACCACAACTTGACCTCAGTTGAAAACTCACGGTTCTGATATTGAAACTTATATAAACTTATATAAAAAAATGGAATTCCTCTCTTCATGTTTCAAACTAATGAAGAGCGTTTCATGTTGATGATCCATGGTTTAATGGACACCCTGTATGTTCTATAATTCCTGAATCTCCCAATCAACAATAATATGATAACTTCAAGTCTTCGAGAGAAATATTTATTAATATTCTCTGCAAGTAATCTTTCGTTTCGAAGCAGTAGGTATTTCATCTGAGTGGGTATTAACTTTTTTTATAATCATTATAAATGAAGAACTAGTCATAGCAAGGAGCTGAAAATTCTCCATCTTATCGAGATATTTATATTCAGTATATTGATGGAAAAAAATCTGACCTCAATGGTGAAAATCTAAAATTAGAGGGTGATGGAAAAAACAGTGTTTTTTTTAATATTTTTTTGTACTTGGCAATTTTTCCAATCAATTAATCACTCTGTATATCATGAAATGCATTATAATGTGTCCTCAAAAATTATAATCAATACCTTAAATCAACCCAATAATACGAGGTGGGCCAATAAACTTTATTTTCTAAAAATCAGCATTCACGAATCACCATGTATAATCAATACATATTATGAATCCAATGGACGTAAGAATAACATATCGGATGATAATTTTCATTTTGTAATTTTTATCAAAATGTGGTATAGCTATTTAAAAATTGAAAATACATGATGTGAATCACCCTGTGATGAAGATCAGTTTTGGTTGATTCTATACATGGTTGTTCTACCCAAAGGTTAAACTGAAAAACTGCTAGCAAAAAATCCAATTCTTTTGTCCATTCTTGGAGATATTATAGGCAGAAGAGTAGGGGGCATTTCTCAACTTCAACACCCTGTATTTCAAAATTTGGTCATAGGGTCGGATTGGGACTCGGCATACTTGATCATCAGGTCGAGTACTATAATGTACCAGAAATTCAGAGAATTCGACAGAACGCCATTTTTACATAGAAAAAGTGCGGGGTCCTTTGGTGAAAAGATCTAGACAACTAAACGGTAGGAAGCGCCAGCCCGACATTTTGGCAATGGCCCAAACAAATCCAAAGCAACTATCTGACCTTTTTTAGTAGGCAAAATAGGGTTCACCAGAGGTTTTGGCAGACTCACTGACTTTGCTTTTTGACAAATATGACATGTTTTGATCACCCTTTTATATCCTGTTACATATTAGCCCATCAATCAACCTTGTTTTTCACAATAAACCATATTCTCATATGTGTGTAACAGGGAATAGCAAAAATGTAATTCCATTACATTTTAAATGCAATATTGCTTCTGATAATGTATATGTATAAATATCAGTGTAAACTGTGAATATGAATGTGTTAATTGGAAAAATCTTACCTATGGCTCGATTGCTTATGACTTCATTGGTATTCATATTTGTCTGTGTACCAGAACCGGTCTGCCAGATAACAAGAGGAAAATGGTCACAATACAGCTTTCCAGAAATAACTTCATCAGCTGCTTTGGAAATAGCATCGGAAATTTTGGCATCAAGACCAAATTCCTTGTTAACGATGGCTGCTGCTTTCTTCAGAATACCCATTGCCGTTATCACTGGATACTGAAATATATTGAAAACATCAAAGCATTTCTGTAGATAAAATCACAGCTAGTTAGTTAGTGGCAGAGAGTGAGAAACTCAAAGTCTCCACAAAATGTTCAAATAATTGCAACAAAAATGGCTTGGCTAATGCCACGCAGAACAAACAAATACGATTGCAAGGGTTTCTTTCCTAAATACCGAATTGTGTTTTAATTGTAGCCAGGTAACGATTAAGCACTCAGACACCGATTTCAATTCAAACTATTGGAACTCATCAGTGAAGGGGAGCCACCATTAGACAACGATCCAAACATCCCCGTCTTGAAAGAACAACTGATCACTAAATGAAACCACCGAAAAAATACTACTGGTATACATGGAAATACATTTATAGTGTCTTCTGATTTTGCAGTACACAGTTACTTTTTTTTAAATAAGATTTTCACAATTCAATTCAATACCTACTCAATACTCATTTTGAAGCATTTCCATCGATTCTCATGGCATGCAATGAATATTTTGTTCAAGGTTATTTCTCACACTCTCTGTTTACTCATGTATCCCAAGTAACATAAGTTGAAGCATTTAATGATAGTTTTGAAGAGTTTTTGAATAGTTCCCTGGTGAGCAATTTGGATGAGATTTTCAATTGTAGGGATAGACTAGTAGACTAGTTGGCCCATAACACCAGGAATGTCGATTATCGACGAAGGTGTGCCCTTCAAGGGACATAAAGATTAAGTTGGATTAGTCTAGGTCGGTCCCGAACCGACATTTCTCTTCGTAGAAGAGTCAGCTGCAAATTTAGACCGTCATCTTATAATGAAATGTAATATGTTCCAATAGCATGTAAAAAATTGTATTTTGTTGAACGGCACCAGTGTCTGAGCAAAGTGATTGAAAAATAGCACTTTCCTGTGCGGTAATTTGCACTTAATTTCGCGATTTGATAACGAGATAAGAATTATGACACCTGATAGTAATTTGATGGTAGATCTCAAAACTTGCCTGTGCCATTCTCAACATGAGCCAAATCACTGCACAGCTATTTATTTGCTGTTATTATTCCGGATATACTTCCGCCATGTGATAACGACTTGAAACAAAAAGCAAATAAAAGGGGATGATGTCCCCTTCCCCTTTACGACTATTACGGCAAACGTGCCGCGACTCAGACTGATCTAAGTTAGTGGCTGAGCCTCAATATTTCCGAGAATATTACGCCCCCGTCGAATGATAATATCCGATGGACCAGTGTAAAACTCAACATATGGATAAGAATACTCGTAGTGCGAGAACCACATGAGCTTTACATTGGTCCATCGGATATTATCTTTCGACGGGGACGAAATTTTCTTGGAAATATTGACGCTCTACCACCAACTTAAATCGGTCTGAATAATAATGGCAGAAGATAAATAGCTGTGCCGTGGATGTGGCTCATATTGAGGGGTGGATAGGTGGGTTTTCGAGATCTACCATTAAATTGGTATCAGATGGCATAATTTTCATATCATTATCAAATGGCGAAATTGAATGCAAATTGCCGCAAAGGAAAATGCAAATTTTCAATCATTTTGCTGGGGATAGTGATTGGCACAGGTGTCGTTCCATAAAATACATGCCATTGGGCACAAAAAACGGCCAGGATCTTGATCTACCCCTCAAGTGGGGTAGTTTACTTCTGTTGTTTTTCAAAAATCCTTGCTGACAGAGTATATCCTGTTCAAATTTTCGCTTCAAATTGCATATTACAGTAACAACAATGTATCCATTAATATAACTTTATAATCAAAAATCAATTGAAATGTCTGGTCAGCAAGCTTTAATTTTGGTCAGCAAATTATATTTCCCCCACTTTTGGACTTGCCTGGCACCTACTTCTGCTCATCAAAATCGCATGTCAATTTTTTTCTCAATTCTACAATATCTAAATAACATCATGATGAAGTTTCAAGTTTACAGAGCCAAGTTTAATTTTTATTAATTTTCAGGCTTTAAAATATATGGGAGATGGTGACGTGCAAAAGTGAGGCCTGCCAGGTCATGGTTTTCTTACTTAACACCCTTTGATCCATCACTATACAAATTCCTAGCCTTACAGACAAACGTTATATAAAAGGTTCACCAGCTCTCCAGCTATTTGTAGATAATCTACATCCCAAGTGTTATGGGCCAATGGTCTATAGCTGCCTAAATAGTAAGTAGGTGGTGTGGTCTCCTACCACCAAGTTGGAGTTCAAAATTAACAGTAAAATATAATATGCTAAGATTGATAATTTGTTGTTGTACTAGCCTGAAATTTATTGGTATATCCTAAGGTTCTTACTTAGCAAATACCTATGCTGCTTTTCAGCATTCAGCATGATTGCTGAAACATACAAGGTGGGTAGTTAAATAAGAGTAGCTACCTTCCTCCATTACAGTCCATACAAAATTTGCTTTTATCTGCCAGGTAGGATGTCACATTCATATTTCTCAAACTAAAAATCTTTTTTCAAAAAGTATGTCTATTGCAATACAATAATTAGTTACCAGTTGATGAATAATTTTTTCTTCAGATAAGTTTATGTTTCATAAGAAGTTACCTATACTCATACCTATCAAAGGAGCTATCAATTATTTTAAAAAGCTAATCAAATATTCGTTTACTACCATATTTTGATGTAATATGAACTGGAGTTGAATATCACTCACAGCACATAATTTCAATGATTGTTTTCTTCTAGATGGGTTTCCATAGCATAGATAATGTAGTTCTCATTATTATTATTACATTTCAAAATAGGGAACACTTTTCAATCCCTTCCTCAGTTACTATACTTCCATTATATGTAAAAAAGGAATACCTCTCTGGATACTTATGTAGTATTCATAGAATAGAAATGAGTTTATTCTTGTTTTAGAAACCTAATTAGTTTGATTTATTGCATTACCGGCATCCTTTCAAATTCGCCACCAATTGGAAAATTGATGGTGGATCTAACAGTCTGGGCTCCATAGTATCTGTCTGAGGGGACCTTGAGTTCTCCAAAAGTGTCTTTCTCGATCCTGTAATCAGCCTGTGGACAAGAAGGGCAAAAAGTATACATAATTAATATTTATGTCAATTAAATAAGAAAGAATGTCAAGTTGTGACATAATCACTCACCATATTTGCAATTTGGGGATAGCAAGAATCACGATAAAGCTTCAATATTGACTTGACCTTTGCACTAACGCGGCCGCTACCAGAGAGTTGTGATAAAGACATCGTATTTGTTGTTAAATTCTTCCCCTCACCATACACAGTCGCCGTACAGATAATTGGAAAGTTGCAATTTCCAGTTTCAAACTTTCGCACTTGACCACTGTTGTTGTGTTACATGACTTACATGACATTTTTCATTTTTGGCATAAAACATAAAATCATTTCATCAGGTTTGACAATTTGTTGACAACTGACACGAGATACAAATAGCGTAGATTTACCACAGAACTCATATATTATAATATATGAGTTCTGTGAGATTTACTGACTGCTGAAAATCTGTGTCATTTGTTGCGTTTTATTTGTTCCATGGGAACAGAATGACGTTTACAAGTGCTGTAATTCGGAACACGTTTTCATGGATTTCTTGAGGAGACAATGGTTTTCATCAGTAAATAACACGATATCAGTAATCAGCAGCAGTTGACCAGCTGGTGAAATTTGTATTATATTATTCTCAGCGTCAATTATTTCAATAACAGACATTTTATGATATTGAATATGATATTATTAATGCATTATTGATAAGACAAGGCTCAATGTTCAAGATAACAACGGAAATATAATTATGTGAAATTCCTTCTTTCTCTAAAATGATGACAGTTCACTGAAGCCACATTGTACCATTCGATAGCAATGCTTGAGATGTTTATGATTCCTATGCTGGTAATGATAGCAATTTCAGCAGAATGTTGAGTCTAGATATTTGGATAGATGAATATTTAGCCAGTTCTATAAGGAAAAAGGTGAGCCACTCAGGAAATCGAACTGATGAAACGATAGCGTATTCGACTGGATGCACTATTGCGCATTCAATTCCAACTTTCGTCGTGCGTTTGTGTTCGGCTGGTATGCATTCAGACAATTCAGACAGTACCAATATTATTTCTATTCGGCTGAACAGGCACTACTCAAGGGTAGAGTTCCTTAATGTACATTGACATTAAGGGTAGATCTGAATTAATGTTCGACCAGTAAAAGCGCTCTCGTTGTTAATTCGAATGTTTTCGCACAATAATTTTTGACGGTGCCAAAGTCAAGGCCAAAGTCACGGACTAAAAAAGACTGAAAGATATTGAATGTTCATTTAGATTGTTATGTTCAGTTTTCGAAATGAATGTAATAGAACTATTAGTAATTGATTCCCTATTGTTGAGCAACAGGGATAGTCGCTATTAGTCGATACCTAGCAATAATGATATTTCTGAATCCATTGAATCGATGTAGGATCAAACATGGATCAAACAGCAAAGTAGAAAACCAATGGTACCCAGAAATTGCAATAAAATATTGAAATACGAGGTATTTGTAGTGAATGACAAAATTGCATTATACCTACTATATACACCATCGAAACCTCTGATTATTCACAAAATATATCTTAATTCATTATGCCGCAAATAATTATTCTCCCCATACTTCGAAATTTAATAAATAATTTGACAATTTTTCAATTTTGAATTGAGGTATTTGATTAGATCCAGCTCAATTCAGCCTTAGGATCCAACAGCACGTTGTCCTAAACCATATAATTATCTACTACTCATATATGAATCATATCATAGCCCATTTTAAACATATAAGGACAGAAAGTAAAGGTTTGACAATTTTCGTATTATTTTTTTCCTACGTCGGCATCAACGCTTATTGGTCGATTTCGTCAGGTTGATAAACCATGCATAAGGTTAGTGAGGAACCCAGAACAATAGACCATTTGAGGACCGAATGAAATATATGCCGTATTCAGGTCTCATAGCTTCCAAATTGTCGAAAATAAAACGAAAAAAATAATATCACCTCTCAATCTCCTCGCGTACTAGGTCACCTACTAAGTTTTTATTTATTCAAACAATAGATGCATCAAAAGAGCCATAAAATGTAAAGATCGAAACTCATATAGATTGTCCCAACGGCTCCCGTTCGTTTTGGTCCCTCGCTAAAGCAGTCGAGAGGAATTTCACTATAATAGTTCATTCCCATCACTCTCTATTAGCAACAACATCGTAATAAAAAGCGAACATTTTTGCAGAGATGTTCGCATCATATACTCTACTTTAGATTCCCAAGGAAAAGTGCCGCTAGATACCTACTCTATACCCATGATACTAAAATGATGGTTTTAGTATCATGCTCTATACCCGTTGAAAGACAAATGCCTGAAATCGCCTTCTGTCAACGCACTATCATCAGACGCATTTTGCATGGTCTCAAAACGAATGAGGCTTACGGCACTGATGGAATTCCACCCATATTATCCTCAAAAAATGTGCACCAGAATTGACACTGATTATCTGCAAGTTATTTACCATCTCGTACAAGTCGAGTATTTTTTCATGCATGCTGGAAAATAGCTAGAGTCCAGAACCAATCTAAAAAAGGAACAAAAACCTGCCCAATAACTACATGCCTATTACCCTATTACCTGTAAAGTGATGGAGGAAGCCATCAACATTGAGCTTATCAAATATCTAGAAAGACCATCAGGAATCATCAATGATAGACAATTAATATGGCTCTCGCCACCGAAGATCAATCTATCTGGATATCTACTCGCCTACGTCAGCCATACAGGACAAGCTTCGTTAGAAAAATCTCTATATAACTGTGGCGTTATTAGACATATCGAGAACATTCGACTGTGTTTGGCACCAAGGACTCCTTCACAAACTACCATCATACGGTTTACCACCTCAGCTATGCCATCTCTTATTATCAAGTTATAATCTCCGAAAATTAAAAAAATTCAAATACCTACCTCCTCTCCCGCAGTCGTACGCACGATGTTCTTCGAACATTATGGGGATTTTTTTCATCGTGCGCTTCAAGCGATAAAAGAGTAGTTTGATTTTTGCCACATCACTGTTATATCGGTTGATACAAGGAGGTCTCCAGTAAGTTGCTCTCCAGTAAAACATGAGATGAAGCAAAAACGAAAACACTTTGCGTGAGACGGAAACACTTGCGAGGGCTCTCCTCGGATGAACTGGTTCTACTACGCGTTCTGAAATAATTGCAAGATTAGCAGATTTTCACGATAAAAAAATTAATGCCATGGGGTTCCCAACTGTTTCAGTAACAAAAAAATGTTTGAATTGTATATAGTCTGCTATTCAGGTGTCAATTTTTTTCCTACAATATAAATAGTTATTTATTGTACAAGTAGAGGGAGAAATAGTAGATTTCAGATCGAGATTGTGTTGTCACAACAAAAATTGTGAGCATTTCCTCCCAAAACCGACCTGACTGTTTTTGGTCTTCTGTCATTTTTGAGAGAACCGCTCGGCCTACAGGTACCAGTCTAATCTCAAATGGAAGCTAAATCAATTAACTAAAACTTCATTACGTATAATATTTGACGTGGGAAGCGTATTTTAGAAGGTACTTCACAAAATAAACGACAATTTCGAAGAACTGTAGACTAGGTATCTTATTGGGAACTAATGGGTGTATGCTCGTATTGGTCTCAAATTGTAGCAAATTCAGTTTTGAAAGTATATGGAATGACGATATCGGTCAGATCAATCCTTCACTGAGATATATTGAGCAAAAACGGAAAAATCCGATAATTTAATGATTTTCTTTGTATACCGCCCGCTCGCACCTACCAACATATATATAACAAATTCAGACCGACCGGACCTTCTGCAAGTACGGATGACCATCTTGATTGGACTATATGTAGAAAAACTAGAAATAAGGGGAGATGTGATATGCACTCACTGAACTATAAAAAAGAAATTTGGAAATGGTGCGAACGAAGGAACATCTGAATCTTTGCATCATATATCAGATCTGATGATAATTTGGAGGCTGACATCCAGTCAAGGAAATTATCGGAAGAGACTGAGTGGGAACTCAACAAGCATTGTTATGATCAATTAATAGAAAATTTTGGATGCCCAGACATCGATTTATTTGCTAGCAGGCATAATAGGAAATGTGAAAAATTTGTTACCTGGAAAAAAGATCCAGAGAAGCTACCTTTGTTGATGCATTTACGTTAGATTGGTCACACCATTTTTTCTATGCTTTTCCTCCATTCAGCATGATTCTCCCAAGTTTACAGAAAATCATGGATGACGGTTCAGAAGGTATTGTGGTGGTACCATCCTGGACCACTCAACCATGGTATCCAATATTCAATACGCTGCTGGTTTCGGAGAAAATGGTTTTTAAACCTGACGCTGATTTGTTGTTGTCTGTTGACAGGATGCCACACCCTCTCTGGAGACAACTTTCCCTGGAGGCAGGTGTTTTATCATACAGGCCATATAACAAAGAAAAATGAACCATCCTCAGCGGCAAAGATAATGCTTCAGTCAATCACGAACTCGACCATAAAACAATATGATTCCAGTTTGAGAGCTTGGTGGGAATTTTGTATCTCAATAAATATTGACCCTTTTGAACGAAATACCACTAGAGTGTTAGAATTTCTAGGAAAAGAATTCTCTGGTGGAAAATCATATGCTTCCCTGAATAATACTCGTTCAGCATTGTCCCTAACTCTTTCTCCTACTTTGGTTACGGACTTCAGAATAAAAAGATTCCTGAAAGGAGCATGGAATCTTAGGCCTGCTAATCCCCGCTATGGTATTACATGGGATCCAGACATAGTCCTGAGATATTTAGAAACAAAATGTCCAAATGAAGAGCTAACCAGAGTCACTAACCCATAAATTGGTTATGCTCATAGCATTGGTCACAGCACACAGAGTGCAAACTCTAGCGTCAATCCAGACTGAGATCAGAAGAACTGATAAGGGAATGGAAATCCAGATTCCTGACAGGATAAAAACATCAGGAAGAAATCGTCTGCAGCCAAACCTCATCCTGCCAATTTTCCGAGAGAATGAAAAGCTGTGACTACATTACTATATGTTACTTGAAGAAGACGGCCAGTATCAGAGATGACCAATGTCAAAGACTTTTTATAACATATAAAAGACCTTATCACGATGCATCGCCTCAGACAATAAGCCGATGGATAAAGACTGTGATGACAAAAAGTGGAGTTGATACTAAAGTTTTTACAGCTCACAGTACCTACTCGCCACGCTTCTACATCAGCTGCTTTCCGAAATGGTGCCAGTTTGGATGTCATTCGGAAATCGGAATACAGCAGGGTGTACCAAAGATTCGAATATTTTTGGCAGATTTTACAATAGGCCAATTTGCCAATTTGCTGAAAGCATCCTTGATAGGTGAGGTCTTTTATGACCTTACGAGAATTGTTAGTTAGTTTAGTTTTACTGATATCTAGTTTTCTGTGTTTTGTTTGTTAAAACTGAGATTACCTACCAATATTTTACTAAAGTGATACAACCTGTATGTTTCGGATGGAGTAGAGTGTAGTGTCAAAAAAGTGACATAAATAAAGAATTAATGATAGTTAATTATGCCCGACCGGGCGTGAAGTGTCACTTTATCGCCCGGATTCGCGTGCGTAAAGTGACAATTCAGCGCCCCAGGGCGATAAAGGAGTAAAGTGGGCGGTAAAGTAGTCCAGCGGGCTGTGAAGTTGGTGCGTAGGCCGTTTTTCCAGTACCTAATCGAGCAGACTGCCATTATTCGATATTTCTTTGCCAGTGGCATACATAATTTGGCAAAATGAATTCAATATCATTAATAAATTCCATATTGACAGTTAATAAAAGTCTAAAACGGTCGTGCATAATAGTTATATTTATGTATCAAGGGCGTAAAGTAGGCGTTTATGGCTCGTGGCGTGAATAATGGCCCGATGGCGCTAGCCGAGGGCCATTACACGCTGATCTTATGATATACCGCTGGATATATTAGGCTTATTATCAAGCCCCTCTTCCCCACTGGGCACGTGCCCAGGGCCTCGCGAGGATTGGAGCCCCCTAGTCCCGATAGCTACTCCACTCTCGCCTGAAAATCAGGCTTACCGAATGCAGCATGTTTAATGAATGTCAATATAATTTTTCATTCCAATTGCCTTTCGCAATATAATAATTTACTTGAAAAAAAAGTGAAAAAAAAATAGAAGTGGAACACCTTTCCTAATGTAGAAATCGCACTTAGAATCTTTCTAAGCATGATGGTAACTAACTGCAGTGGGAAACGCTCCTTCTCCAAATTAAAACGAATACAAAGTGAATTAAGAAGTACGCTTCAAGAGAGATTGAATAGTTTGTTGCTAATAATGTCTATAGAATGTGATATGCTCGAAAACATAGATTTTGAAGATGTTATTAACGATTTTGCTCAACTCAAATCTAGAAGGGTACCTCTTCAATCAGCATAGATACTTATATAAGGAGTATAAGGACTAATCGTGGATGCTGGTTACTTATTATTGTGGATTACATGATATAATCTATTCATCATATTATATCTCTGATCATATCTAATGCATCTAATAATGCTAAAACTTTGCATTTCTATATTATTTGTCTATTCTAACAAAATAGTACTTTATTATGGTCATAGGCACCCCATTATTCTAATGTGCCCAGGGCATCTAATAGGTGAAAGACGGTCCTGCTTATTATGAGTCCATGGGTTAGGTGCTACTTTACGCCCGGTCGTGCATAAAAACAAGTTAGGTAGGCCGGAAATACATACATTTTATGCACCACCGTTTCAGACATTGATCAATTGTCAATATGGAATTTATTATTATTGATTTTGAAATCATTTGGCCAAATTATGTATGCCACTAGGGACTAGTGAAGAAAGATCAAATGGTAGTCTACTCAAAATTACAGGAAAAACAGTGGAATTATTTAACCGCCCGATCGTTTACTTCACCGTCCGCCAGACTACTTTACCGCCTGCTGGACTTCTTTACGACCACAAATCTGGGCAATAAAGTGGCACTTTATGCCCGGTCGTGCAGAAAGAAAATGCTTATCAAATAAGACTTGAATTATTAACTGTTATTGATAGCAAACTTCATCAATATGGTTGCATGGAACAATGTTACCATGGTAACTTAGTGAATTTTTCAAAATAAGAGTGAGCCATTATTGGTTTTTAACTTATGTTGTCACAGATATAATATACAGGGTGTTTCACAGGTAAAGGGAAATATTTCAATGGTAGATAGGGGTCACCAAGGTGGTTCTGAAAATACCATATTTGATAGGTCTTACCCAGTATATTTTTCTAAAATTTGGTATGGAGCTTAAACTTGTGACGTTGAATTCATTCACCTATCGGGTGAAGAGAAAATCCAGGTTCGGCTTCAGGATAAATTCACATTTATTCGAAATACTAAAATAACACACTGTATGTAATAATTGACAGAGTTCATCAAAGGAATCGTAAAGAGGAGGAAAAACTGAACTGGATTTGATGCTTTTTGTTTTCCCGCCACCAATTCTCACCGTAACAATCATAAACAGAAAGCTGAAAGTATGTCAATTTGAAGAGTATTGAAATTATGAAACCAGTGTCAATTATGATTATTCGATATATTTTAGTCAAAAAATCGCTCGAAAGAACTTACTAAGTCTCACAGTTTTTATAATGGAGATACAGGGTGAATTATCGGTTTTGAATAATTATTCACTTGAAAACGGTAGGAGATACGAAGTTGGTTAAATGCGAGGTTAAATGGGGAAAAAGTAGCGAATTCGGAGGCTCATATCAAGAGCCTTCGAAAATTTTTAAAATTATTTTTAGATTTTGAGTTATATCGAAAAAAGTGAATTTTTGGAATATCTATTTTATTTTTTTTCTCCGTTATTATTAGAGATACAAAAAACTGAAAATTCTTGTTCATAGCAACTTTTGATGACGTTTAAAGTGGTGATACCAATTTTTCAATGCGACGTTTCGTATTCGTAGAACCATCATCAACTTTTGTTTCTTAAATACGGTCCTAATGATTTTTTCACAGATTCTGAAAGTTTTTTTTTTATTCTGAATTCAACCATGTATTATACAAGGTGGTTTATGTGTGTTTCGACCTATTTTGAGCCATCATCAATGTTTTTTCGAAATTCCAAAGGAAAAATGCCATCAGTTCCACTTATTTTGAAGAAAAATTAGTCAACACACTGATATTTCATCAACTGGTTTCAATCAACAACACATTTCATTTTGCGGAAACAAAAATGCCATCCATACAAATTCAAAATATGTCAAGCGCTAAAACCAGGCGATGACAAAAGGCGCAGGACATTCTGTGAAATGCTCAGTAATGTCTTAGAACTTAGAAGCAACTGTGAGAAGAGGATATCGGATTTCATTGTTCAGAAAATAATGGTTATCATTTTGAACATTTGTTATGAATGTTTCTGTAGGTATTGTCAAAGTTAAGTTGTTAAAGTAATTCGTGTAAGAATTCATCAACAATTTTAAGGGCTGCATTGAATGATGTATTGAAATATTTTTTATTCACTTTTCAGTATTGAATAACTAATCCATTAATGTTTGACACTAAATGATCAGAAATAAATGGAACTGATGGCACTTTTCCTTTGGAAGTTTGAAAAAACATTGATGATGGATAGAAATAGGTCGAAACACATTCGAATCACCTTGTATAATACATGGTTGAATTCAGAATAAAAAACCCTTTCAGAATCTGTGAAAAAATTATCAGGAGAGAAACAAAAGTTGATGATGGTTCTACGGATACGAAACGTCGCATAAAAAAATCGGTATAACCACGTTAAACGTCTTCAAAAGTTGCTATGAAACAGTATTTTCAGTTTTTCTGTATCTCTAATAATAACAGAGAAAAAAAATGAAATAGATATTCCAAAAATTACTGTGCAACCTTATCTTGAACAGACTGTATACATGATTTGATTATAGTTCTTGAAAAATATTTTTCACCAGATCAAGATTTTTTTCCATAGGTCTATAATAGCAGGAATTCAGGACTCAACAAAATTCTTTATGTATGATAACTATTTATCTATACATTTCTTCACCCTGTGTATTGGTCAAATTGAATTGTGAATCAAGTTATACTAAAAAATTACACTGTTCTTTAAAATAATTTGTATTATTTCATTATAAGTAAAGAAAGAGTCAACTAAGTGTACATAATAAATTATATGTTATGATATAGTAATTCCTGGAGTAATTCTAACTGGTTTACTGATATTTTCTTGAAGTTGCAACAGTTTATTAAATATATGTGGATGACAAATTACAAAATGGTTTCAACGTTAACTCATTTTTCTACATTATAAATTTCAAATTACATTTCCTTATTCAGAAAGAAGCACAGAACAACATACACATCTGCAGTGAACTAACTAATGAAATAACCTACTGAGTTGCACACCTGTGTATACCTGGTCCATGCATTTGATCTTCATCATCACTGGCATATGCTTCTCCACGCCCTGAATGAGAGGATCTGTCATTAGGATCAAATTCATGTAGATCAACTTCTTCTACATGATCTCCTATGGGCATTGTGAACTCAGGTCGAGGTGGAAGCAGAGTTTCCAAAGCCTTAAGATTTGCTTCAGATGTGAAATGATCTTCAGGGAACTTGATTTCAAATGCTACATACAAATTTCCTTTTTCAAATGGATTCTTATAAATAGGCATGCCTTCTCCAATCACAGCCTTGATATCACCTGGTTTAACAACTTCCCCAGCTGGTTGTTTAATCAAAATATCACGTCCATCCAAATGATGTAAAATGAAGGAAAATCCACACAATGCTTCAGTTAAAGATAATGAATGTTTGACATGTAAATCATTACCATTCCTCTGGAATTGTTCATTAGGTTTCTGCTGCAGGATAATCACTACATCACCAGCTTCAACATCAGGTTGTTGATCACCTTCTCCACGAAAGAAAATCTTCTGGTTTTCTTTCATGCCCTTATCAACATGAACTTCTATGATCTTGGTTTCATTACAAACTTTCTTACCTCTACAAGATGTACATCTATCCTTGTCTTTAATGGTCTCACCCTCACCTTGGCAATCTGGGCAACGAGACTGAGTTTGTTGTGCCATTCCTGGTGCTATTTGACGAAATGTTACTTTCAAACCACAACCATTACAAGTGTGGCATTTCTCAGTGAGACCACTTTTACTGCCTTTACCTGCACAAGTTGCACAAATTACATTCTTACTAAGCTGCAGCTTGGAAGTTTTCCCATTGTACATATCTTCTAAAGTAACCTTCAAGGGATGGATAGTGTCCTCCCCCCTTTGTCGTCTACGCATCCCTCCTCCACCACCGCCACCACCAAATCCACCAAAACCTCCGAATAATCCACCACCAAACAGGTGTGAAAGCAGATCATCTCCACCAAATCCATCGTGCGCTCCTTCCTGCATGCCTTTGAGGCCGAATTTATCATAGGTGGCCCTCTTTTTAGGGTCAGATAACACTTCATATGCATAACTGATCTCTTTGAATTTATCACCTGCTTCGGGATTTTTGTCGGGATGGAATTCTTTGGCTAACTTCCGGTATTGCTGGGAATGAAAAATCACGTAAAAATGTGACAAAGAATACTTGAAACGTCGTTATCGTCCTTGATGAGAACATTAGAACTTGTCATCGCATCAGGAACAAATAATAAAATATCAGAGAGATTGTAAAATGTTGTAACATGAATTCAGAATGACTGGTATTACCTTTTTTATCTCATTGTCTGAAGAGTTTCTGGTCACTCCTAATATATCATAAAGTTTGTTGTCTGCCATCTTTCTAAACAAGGAAATAGATTTGAGATTTGAGAATGAAAGATTGAATCGAAGGACTTTTATGAGCGTGCGCATGCAAAATGTCAATGTTTCAATGTCAAAGTCAACAAATAGCATTAACAGAAGTGGAAATAGGACCATTCTATTGGACGAACAGTGTAGTAATTCTGGTCAGGTCTGTTCCAGGTCTATTGGAAAAACTACGTAAAACGTAAAAGTGCAGTAAGTGATTGTTTATATTTTACTAATGTTTACTCAATAGTAATCTCAGTTATTGGTCTTACATAAACGTTCAAATGGACAAAAAATATTTTTTAGGAATTCAGAATATATTACTAGAAAATGGAAAAAAGGAGCATTAACATAAAAATTCTACATTAACTAGTATTTTTCGGAACACCCTGCATTTTATGTTCCTAAACGGTAGAGCTCCTTCTAATTCCAAATATATATACGTCATTGAGGATATCTTTTGTCAGTTTTTGATAAATATATGGTAATCTAGTAGTCAGTATACTCGTTGATTGATATCTCAGAATTGATATAATTATACTGAAGATGGCAGCGTCATACGTCAATCAGTGTTGAATCAGTGTGTGTTCGCGATATTAGAACTGTGTGCAATCTATCAGCAGTTTGCCAGCGTGACGTAGGGGTCTGTTTGTACGCAGTGTTGTTCTTGTCATTACTTTTGTAATAGATCTATTACTATTCCACGGAGATTGTTACGATATTACGGATGGGTGCGTTTTTCATTCCAACATTTTATCATGCGCATGAATCGAAGAAACCATCAAACTGTTGCAAAATTCCGCTGGAATGTTGATGGACATCCATCAAACTGTTGTAATAAAATGCGCACTTTTAAATCGCATTTCGAGAATCCAGCAGTTTGGAGGAGATTGACATGACAGTTGACACATTTTAGTGTTGTTTTTTGTTTTGATTTGATAGAAAACAATTAATATTGAGGATTTTTGAGATTCTTGAGAGATTTTAGAAGAAAGAGTCAGTGTTAATCAATAAAGTCGAATTAGCCTTTTCTGATTCTCAAGATACATGATGACTGACACACAACAAAATCCGTGTTTCCATCAATGTGTTGCAAAATCCATTGTTCAATCCTTCCAGCATAAATTCCAACAGAACAGTTGGTGACGTCACGACAAAAAACCGCATCTATCAGTGCGCACTTTCTTCGATGGAATGAAAAACACGCCCGATTGGTCATGAATCTATTACTATTTTCTGTTAGCACCAAAATATGATGTTTTGTTACTAAAACATCTAATTCTGTGTTCAGCGGATAATTATGTTCTGCTCTATGGGTCTATGTTCTATATTTATGTCACAAGCATAGACAATCTCTACTCTGTCATAAGTTCTGTGTGACTTCTGCCTCATTCCTGTCGAAACTGTCTAATTTGTACGATATGGTTTGACAAGAAAAAAGACATTCATTCAAATCTGTTACCATTTTCCAAGAAAATCTATTACGAAAAAATCAGACCCAGGAACGGCAGGAACAACACTGTTTATTTGTACGTGTGACTGTAGATGGAAGCGTCATACAGTGTGTCGCGATATTCATGGTCTTACCTTAGAACTATGCCACTAGATGGCTGTAACTTGACTACTTCACAAGGTTGGTAGAACTGATTATAATTTGTATAGGAAGGTTGCCTCGATCGATAGTGCGGCAAGGGGGGAAACGGTCACTCGTGACGTCACAGGCAGTAAGACGACAAGTTGTCAACCTTAAAGCGACATGTCATGAAATGTTTACCAAATAGAGTATACAAACATGATACAAACTTTTTGGTCTGCTCAGCATATTTATATTGATTTATAGTATATAATTATAAGTAAGTACCATTATAAAATATGGATATTTACATATACTTCTGTATAATACCTTCAATCTTCGAAATGAGAAGGCAATTTTGGATGGATCAGTAGTACAGAGAGGAATACCTATCTGAAATTTTGTTCCAGGGGCTATTTACCAGGTCGTGGTACCAGGTATGTGTGTTTTGAGGTATGGAACATAATTATGGAGCTAGTGATTACTTATGCATTGATTATGAACCTACACATCCTATAAATATCCTGCAAATCAGATAATGTGAACAAGAAACTACAGAAAATATAAGAATAATCAACTGATGATCCAGAAGTAGTAGCAGTGGACCAATATTCGTACACAACAGATCACTTATTTTATCAATATAACTCTGTATTCTGAAAAATTAACAAACTTTCCTAGATACCTATAGAAAATACAAGAGGAAATAGTATTTCATTGTTTGATTATATTGTAGTCAAAAACAGAGCAATTGATCGAAGTATTTGAGCATAAAAAAATAACAAAATATGATTCTGAACAAAATTAATGAAAAATAACACTACTATTATAAGTGAACCTATATAAAGGATAGTTCAAGGAATCTCTCAATAAACAAAGCTCCTCTTCGTTGGGTAACGTATTCTTGCTCAAATATCTCAACTTGAAAACACGTGTGATATCTTCTGATGTCCATTTTACCCGTTCAGCAAGAATCTCAACATTCACAACTGGTCTGGTTCTGATCATTTTTCCAAACTTCCATATTTATGGTGTTTCTCTTGTTGTATTTGGTATTATTGATGGGATTCCTACCTTGAGTTTTCTTCTCTTTGGTGTGTGATTTAGCAATTCTGCTTGTGCCGTTCAAAATCCTCGGCATCGAAATGGGCAGAACATATTCGCCAAGTTTTGGTATTAAATGAATTAAAATTACGTCCACAAAATTGAATCCATTTCTCACGAATAGACTCATCTTATGGAAATTAATGGAAACACAAACTAAATTCACTAGTCTCATTACACTTGTACGAATTTTAACAAGAAGTGACCGAACAAATTATCATTTTTACATTTTTAAGTTCAAAATGGTTCAAATATTCGAAAATACTGACAACTGTCAACTCAATACATGCGCCGGCCAATCGCCGGCGTACATAGAGTTTATAATCCTTGGGCGTACATATCATACACGAAGTGTACAAGAGTGCTATACTTTTCGTGCAAAAGAAAGGGCCTATTACGTCATGAGTTACTCAAGGTTACTCGCGGGGTGCGATCGAGGCACAACCTTCCTCTACAAAATAGTCATCAGTTCTACCAACCTTGCTACTTCATTACAGTAAAGGTGGGATATATGTAATTACAGTGATAGTCACTGTATACCTTAGATCATGCATGTCATTACTATTGTATAGAACTGGGATATATTAGAAAGGCTTGTAATGTTACTTGACACATTTATTGAAAAACTTATTATCGTATGTCATGAACTATTGACATATATCGAATAGTCTAGGATACTGGGTGATTCTAATATCTAAGAATACGACAGTCTCCCCCACATAATTAGAAAATACACAAATCATCAAAATAAAAGTTAACAACAATTTTATAAGACTTCATGTCGTAGTCAGAGATAAGTTACCCACTTAACTTATCTCTGTCGTAGTCAGCAAAACGTGAAGGTAGGCGTCGCTGGCGCTGTGGTCGATCTTGAGGAAGATCTGGAACATGACACCTATTTGGTTCTACTGGTCAGAGATAAGTTAACTTATCTCTGTACTGGTTCAACAACACATTCTGGTATAATGTGGCTGTGGCACTGTTGGTATTCTTGGAACATCGAATGATTGAGTAGGTCCAAAGGTAACTGTAGGCTTCGGAACCAAACTCGATCTAAGTTGGTCGACATGTCGTTTCAGTGTTCGGCCGGAATCCAATGTAACCGAATAGTGGCGTTGTCCAAGAACTTTTTGAATTACGCCGAAATGCCAGACGTTCTTATTATTGCTAAAAAGTCTGATCTGGACTCTTTCCCCCTCATGAAATGAACGAGGAGTCCTCGAAGATGTCCTGGACTTGTGGAGTGTATAGTGCTAGAGGTACGCAGAAAAAAACCGCATTTCGTATAGAAAGCGAGCAAATTTGCACAAATGCTCATTAGAACCAAATGAACGATTTGGCCTGCAGCACCTACTTTTTTGGGCTTGGTGGTCCGAATTTTGGGGAGGGGGGCGGGTTAATTCGACGAAATTTTTTTCAAAAATCAAAATAAAGCTACAGAGATGATCCAGATGTCGATTTCAAATGGAACTGTCTTGATAAATTCGATGGTAAGATTCTTTCAGCTCTATGATCATCGGAAAAGTCTCAAATCAGCCATTTTGGAGAATGGCGTCCGATATCGTGCCATATTGACATGATTGAATGATTCGTTGCGTGTGGGGTATTGTTTTACATATTTCAAGTATGTCTGGAGGTGATTGAACCAACAAAATTATGTGAAGATTATTTTAGTATAAAAATTTCGAAGAAAATTCAGTAAAAAAGAAATGCGAATATGCTGAAAATTAAAATAAAGCCATATTCTTCATGAAAATGAGCCGTTCTCTAATGGAAATTTCCTATTCGCCATAGATGAAGCATCGCTCTATGACGAGCATAATATAAATCAAAATCCTCCATTTTATAAAATGGCCGCCAACTCGGCCACCAATAATATTGAAAATTCGCTGTGAGTTTATGAATGTGAAAAAAATTCTGAGCGCCTATGATAAATTAAACAACACTGAATAGCACTTTGCGATGCTGTTATAATTTCGACTTTTATTGTTTCAATACAAAAATTCTAGTATCTACATAAAAAACATTCGATTTCCTGGGTGAATGTTCAGGCCATATTTAGAGAAAAGAACATTTTAGTGGAGGTATAACTGTTTATGATGAACATACGAACCTTGATCGATCTTTTAAATAATTCACTCCTCCGTCATCCTCCTCTTCATTTTGGTGCAGGTGGGGTTCGAGTTATTGGGCTTGGGTCCTACATTAAGCAGTGATATGAAATAATCTTTCACGCTGGATCATTCAAAGCGACTTACTTTTTATTCGAACAGTCCCCTTTGCAACTTGTGCATCCCAGGTAGCACGATTATATGTTCCTACGGCAGGAACAACGTTTTGTGTCACATCCAGCCCTGCAAGCCGACCAGATCTCGGGAAGCTCACTCCAAAGCGGA